CACACACACACACACACACACACACACACACACACAAAGGGGGTCCGAAATCCCCTGACAGGTGAGTGCGCTGGGGGGGGCCCCCAACCGGGTGCCCTGCCCTGCCAGGCCGCCCGGGACCTCCCCCGGGCCCCTGCCGGTCACCCGGGGGGCCCGGATCCCCACTCAGTATATATCATCAAACATATATATTTTTAATTTTAAATTTATATTTGGCAAGGAATTTCGATGTGACCCTGAGGCAAAAGTTGTTTTTCGATGTGACCCTGAGGCTTCAGTTTATTTTTCTGCATAACAATGATAACATACTTTTTCAGATTTTTTTTGTTCTTTTTTTTTTTTTTTTCGTGGGACCTTCTTTGGCCCTTGCACGGCCGGGCCGTTGCCTGGGCAAACAAGGTGGCCCGGGCAGCCCGGCTGGTAGCCTAGAGCACTAACCAATACCTCTCTCTGCACATGTCACCCAGACCACAACAACAACAGTATGTTCAGCAAAACGATCCAAACTATTCCCCACACCACACACACAAACCCTGAGAATTGAGATGAGCAACCACACAGGACAATTGGACACAGTTCGACCATAGCAGGACTAAACCCATCTGTTTGTATTGCGATCAAAAGGCTTAAAGCCTCAAACGGTGTGTTGCGATCAAAGGCTTGAAGCCTTGAACGGTGTGTTACCTGCCGGCTTCATCCCTAATGCAATGTTTTACTCATACAAAAAGCTAACGGACCAAAACGGCTGGCCCCACCAGCCAAAAAGAAAAGAAACCACGCCCATGCCAGTTCGTGATTTCTTAGGAGCGCAGCACAGTTTCGGATCAGTAAAAACAGCCTCAGGCGGTGGTGGTTTAAGCCGCTAGTACACGGCCCCAGCCTTGCAGAAAAGAAACCCGTCGCCTACACGGAAAATTTTGGGGCCAGGTCGCCGTTCATAATTTTCATCAACAGCCTTTGTTGCGTTTCCAGCCTCCGAAAATGATGGCATGGGCCGAGATCGTGTCTCTCTCTCTCTCTCTCTCTCTCTCTCTCTCTCTCTCTCTCT